CCAGCTGCTGCAAGAGGGTGGCCGCTTCGCCTGCTCTATCCTCGGACCCCTGTAAGCTTTCTTTCTCCGCCTCTCCGAGTTCTATGTGAGCACCCTCACTGTGTGAGCCTGCTGGTCCCAGGGCTCCCCAGCGGTGGCCGTGGGCCCAGCCAGCCCCCCGCCACACGTTACGTTCAGTGGGGGCAGCCAGGCCACTGTGAACGTGTGAGGAAATGAGGTGACACATCCTTCTCTTCTCCCCAGTCTAGCCCCGAGCTCAGTTCCCTACTGCTAAGTCCGGGGGGGTCTCAGGGGCCTGCAGCCCTTGGGCTCAGGGGTCCTCCTCACACAGAGACCTCAGAGAGCAGGGAAATGAGACTGCTTGGGGCAAGACATTGAAGGAATGCACCTCAAGCTGAGCCAAAAACCGGACTCCAGGGTCCTAGACCCAGCTCTGTCCCACGTGAGTATGTCCATCCACCATGGGCCTCAGTTTCCCTTCCATGAGAGGGAAGAAAACGGCTCACCTCTCGCTCTCGGAATCGCTGGAGATCTCCTCATTCATCTTGCCTCCACCTTTGGCTTTGCCCTTGGCCCCGACAGAATCGGTCTGGAAATGAAATTATAGTGGTTTGGGGCGGGGGTGGGGGGTGGGGGGAGGGTTCGTCGAGAGTCCCAAGCACCCCGACACTAATCAAGGGCCCATTGAGATCCTTGGAATGCCCCAGAACTGGGAGAGGTCGTAACTGCAGGCTCAAGCGCAAGGGTTTTCTGGCCTTCGTCCGTGGGGTGATGAGCAAAGCGGCTTCCAGCAGGTCCTGGGAGAGCTAGCTGGTGGAGGGCCCAGGCCCCGGCCCCCCGCAAGGAGAAGGGGTGGTCCCTGCAGCAGATCTGACACCAACCGCGGACACACCAGGCTCACCTTCCGTCGCCGCTTGCTGGCCACTGCACCAGCCCCGGCCCCCGAGGTGGGCTTTCCCCGCTTGCGAGCCACTGCTGTGGACGACATGCTGCCTACGGTGTCCGGAGCAGTCGCAGCGGCAGAACTCACGTGGCGACGAAAGCCCAGCCGTCTCGCAAGATTCCGCACCCGGACTGGTTCCCACAGCCCGGAAGGCCCCGCCTCCCACAACTTCATTGGGCTCCTCAGCGATTCTGTCACGCCCCCAAGCGGCCATAGGGCAGAGGCCTGTGGCTCCGCCTCCAAGGCTTCCGATAGGCTCCCGCGGCATTTCGAGTCGGAAGTCAGCCTGTAGCTTCCGGCCCTGGGCTGTGGCGCGTGCGCCCTGTGCCGATTGACGACTTGGCGGGGTGGGTGGTACGCCTGGCAGGATCCGACCCGAGAGACTGTGTTTGCGCCCTCTGGCCGCTGGGGGGCGACAGAGCTGCGAGGTGGCGGGTTTCAGAGCACGACTCCTCCCAGTCCAGGGTGCGGCCCGACCCGCGGCGGTGTACCAGCCTGGCACTGGAGGGAGGGTGAACTTAGGCACCCCGAGGGAGAGAAGGACAGTGCCCAGACCCAAGGTCACTGGCAACCAGCAGGCACGTGCCGCTTGCCCCAGGCCAGACGAGCAGCGCGCTGGGCGATCTCGGCCCTGGGGCCTTGTGCTTGTCCGGATCCAGTGCCCACTTACCCGTAGGGCAGGTCAGACCGCCCCGCCCCTGCCAGTCACGGCCTCCATGACTCAGCCCCACTGGTGGCCAAGTAACTGGAATCCTGTCCCCTGCCCAACTCCTGCCGGCCTCGGCCGGAAAGTCCCTCCCTGAGTCACACCTAAGGCTCACATTGGGGAGCTAGAGACTCGGCCCCAGACCTGAGACTGCGCCGGACGTGCCCCCTGACGTCCTGGTACCAGGCTTGGGGACAGCCACCTCTCCCGGGTCCTTGCTCCTCTTAGGTGAGTGCCCTGTGACCCTGCCCCACCGCCTGACTCCAGGGCCAAGGTGGGTGGGGCTGGAGCCTGACTCCTGACACCCCAGAACTATTAGGCTAGGCTTCTACATCACTTCGTCCCAGGTTCAGGGGTGGGGTGGGGTGAGAGGAAGAAACACGGCCTAAAGATCCCGGCCCTCCTGACCCTGCCCGCTTCCAACCTCACCTCCCACGCCCCCACCCACCAACTTTGGTGACTCAGCGAGCAACATGGACTGGGGAGGAGCCAGAAGTAGCGGCAGGGACTCTCCTTTCACTTTCTCCAGCACACCAGGACTCCTGGGAAGGGCAGA